ACGGTCGGATCCCCTAGATTACGGTCTTCAGTCGTAAAGACTCGTAATGACAACATAGAGCTAGTAGGCTCATAGTACCAAGAGCTGAGGTGCTCGACTTCCGACTGCTAAAATCCGAAAGCTGTGGAAAAAGTTGTACAGAGAGCGAGGGCAGTGTGGTCTTTGATTTCCGGTAGCAGTGTGTGACCTTGACAAGCCCTTGGCAGGGCTGTCGGTCGTCCGTCGGTGGAGAGCTTTCGTTCCACCAGTACCAGTAGACAAGGCATGAGCGCAGAGCTACTCGGGACATGATCCTACGACTCCTTACAATTTTCTTTTCCGATTGTCACGCGCTTGACCCCAGTGGATCAGGTTCTGTTAACGAAATAAATCAATTTCTCAGTTTGCTCGTGATCATTTTAATGTGAAAGGGTTGTTTGTTTTCCATTCCCGGCTTCAACTTCCAAAATTAATGTTGGGTTGACCCTTCCAAGGAGTGGCACCCCATTGATTGATTGATTGAATGAGGGGGGGGTGCAAGTTGTTGTCTTGATTGATTGATTGATTGGTTGGTTGACCGATTGATGGACTGGCACCCCATTGATTGATTGATTCACGGATGGATGGATGGGTGGATTGGTCTTGGACTGGTTGATTGATCCAAATGGGTTCACGGATCCATAGATCGGCTGGATCGGTCCATAGGTCAAGCATCCAACTTGAAAGCAAAAAAGCGTGGGCATTCGTAGGCAACTAAGGCAAGGAGGCAACTAAGCGTGGGCATTCGGTTGGTGTGTTTTGGGAGAACACGCCGACAGCAACAAGACGCGCTGGTATCTAGCCCCCTCGGCAGGAAAATTGGTTAAAGCACTCGTGTGTGTTTGTGTGGTAATAGACTTGCATGCCTGTGCCTCGGCATATTACGTCAAGAGGTGTGCTTATAAACAACACGTGAAACGGAGCCTGCAGCCAGCCATGCCCGTGAAACGAATGTACATAAGTGACGCAATGTCAAGCTTTGAAATCCCGTAAAGCAAACAAGAGCCATAAGGCAAAAACCATGGCAAATGGGAGCAAGGCCAAGGATGTTAATGCAAAAGTCAGGACAACAAGAAGGCACTGGATGGCAACCGGTAGCAAAGAACATAGGCTGGACTCTGGAGGGCATGGGGGAGGCAGGTGGGCAGACAGACAGCACTAGGCAGCCAAGGAAAAGGCAACAGGCCAAGGATCAGCGAGGCAGGAAAGAAGAAAAGAAAAAAAAAAGGGCAATTGTCAAAAAACACTGACAGTGAAAAATATCTTTTTTTTTTTTCTTTTTTTTTTTAAACATTTTAACACAGCCCGGGTGATGCTAGTGGTGCTGGTTTCAACAGTCACGGGTAGCACCCCTGGCAGGCTCCATCTATTGGTGGGGAGCAGCACCTGCTGGGAACCGGGTCCAGCGTCCCTTACATTTGGAAAAGCATTCGGGATCATGGGATAGTGTGCTGAATTGCTGTCTGTTTGCCAACTGTCCTGTTCTATCCTGTTGGACCTGTTCCATCCAAAGCCAAGATCTTGGGTTGGAACCCAGCAGGGCCCACTGGGGGGCACCAGTAGTCTCTGTCTGTTCCAGCCCGCCTTCCAGGTCACACTACCACACTACCCTTTGGGGATGCTTGGGAATGCTTGAAAGAATTCTGGAATTGATTGGAAAACAGCCTGAAGCCCTTGCCTCTTCAGCCAGCTTTGTGGCCGCCTGATGAAAGTGATGTACCTGGCAGACTTCCTCGTTCTACCCTTCCTTCCAATCTGTACCTTCTTACCGTCTGAGAAGGGTCTGAGGAAACTGAGAAAAGACTGAGGAGTTGAGAGAAATTAAGAAAATCGAGAGGAAACCTCTTCACCTAAACTCAGTTGCGTGTCTTAGTTCCTCCCTCCCCTTAAGATGTACTGAGTCTGTGTCTGCTGGAGATCGAGTCCCGTGTCTCATCGCCTGTTTCCTCCTTCGGGAGGGGTGCGGGGGGAACAGGTTCGCAGGTTGTTATTCCGGGATTTCAATCAAGGACAGGGGATGGGGCGGGAAGGGGTCTGGGAAATCAGACGGTGGCCTCATCGGGAAGGTCGGCTCAATGTTAGTCCACTCATTGAAAATAAGCTGATAGTCTCTGGGTGGTCCTTGACCTAGTGCCTCAGCCTGATCTCCTCCCCATTCTACGCTTGCTATCCAACCCCCCCGGTGTCCTCGTAGCCATTCTGTGCAAAAAACAGTGATCACCCTCTTGATATCTCGCCCAATTTGGAAGAGATATAATTGGGGCTTAAGTTCGATCCACCTTCATTTTATTTCTAATTCTATGAGCTCTTTTATCTGACCTGTCAATTCGGGCCCCTCCACTCTTACTCCTTCCAGTGCTAAGGTACAGCGCTGCCACCAAAGTGCCCACAGTATTGTCTGTCTGCCCAGTCTGAACATGTTGTCTGCAAAGGTGGATGCTTGTTCCAGCTTCGGGCAATGTCCTGTCAGAATTGCTTGCCAAGACCATGGCCAGGGTGTTTCCGTTATCAGCTTTCGCCAGATGCGGTCCCACCATCGCCATGTCAGCAGGGCTACTGGGCATTGCATGAATATATGTTCTTTGGTCTCATTGCGCTTTTGTGCAGGGAAGGCTGTAAGGCACCTCTGACACCATGGTAATGCTTTTCCTTTTTGCTCCAGGTAGGTGTGATCGATCAGCCAGGCGTTCGTTGGTAGACAGCGGTGGGCAATCTGCCACTGTAACGAAGCTATTTTTGCTGGTCTTACTTTATTTCTGTTAAACCATTTGATTGGCGTCAGAAGGGATCTGTCGACGTTGAGATGCCTGGCCCATCTGTCTATGATTATGTCCCTCAACGGTCTTTTAGGTCGTAGCATCTTGTACATGGAGCGGACAGATAGCTTCTGCAGATGAAGTTTCTTATCCAGAGCCTTCCCTGGCCTTCGTGCTGGTTGCCATTGCCACTCTTCTGGGTCTATGGCTAGCTCATGAATGGGTGTCTGAGGCTGAAATACCCTGGCTTCCTCCCCTTCTCCCAACACTCGTACTCTGAACATCTCTGGGTTATCCCGCCACTCGAAAGGGTTGCGGGAACTCAGGAGCCAGTCCCCTGCCCTTATCCTATAGTATTCTACTAATGCCTCAGTTGGTCGTTGTAGCGGACCCACCAGGTGTGGTGCTCCGCTAGTGACAGAGATGGAGATAGAGGAAGAAGGGGGAGCAAGATGGCACAACGCAGCTCCCCACGCAAGACTCCAACGCACGTACTCCAAAATGTGCAAGTGAGGAATGAGATTGAAAACAGACAATGGCTGGGGTATACCCCAGCGGACTGACGGGACTGGACTGGACTGGCTGGTACCGACAGGGGKACCGGCCTGGACTGGCCTACCCCGAATATAACACAGGCCTGTGAGAACAGGCCAAGGGGCTGGTCTCACAGGCCAACCCGAGGTCCGCTACACGATCCTCGGCCTCCGATGGATTGCCTAGATACAAACATGCTTCCACCAAGAAGTGGAACTCTACCAAAGAAAAGAAAACCGGAGTAGTCTAGGATGTGGAGCAAGCTCCATGCTGAGTCCATGCGATGCAACCAAGGATATAAAATGTCACAAAACAACAATTTCACAGCTAACAGCCTAAGTAAAAGTAGGAGCAACTAACTAACATACATGTCCTAGGAAAGCAAAAAGTAGTGACAACTAGATCCTAGAATGTTGGAGGCACTAGCCTCAGTCTGGT